CCTTATGCTTTTATCTAAACATGAGCTATAAATTTAAGGGCGATCTTGCTGCAAATTACATTTCACAAATCCCAATATATATTAGAATCATATCCAATTGTATCTACAGATAGAATTCAACTATAAATACCAATGAATATTGTTGTATCAAAACACCAACCTATAATTAAAAATAATAAATAAATAAAACATAACAATTTGAAACAATGATTTGTACTTGTAGAAATTTAGAAGTATAATTAAACAATAAAAATTTAGTGAAGTCACTAATCAAACAATAAAACAGGGAGTAGAAATTATAAGTTTAAACGCTTATCAAAATATAAAATAAAATGAGGAAGATGAAACAAAACAAACCAGATGATGTTTGAGTGTAAATCTATGGCCATGTTACTACAGTTTATATGAGTTTTTATACTTTTTTGACGTTAAATTGATCAAGTAATAATTTTATTGCAAATACAGAAATCAATTCAGTGACAAAAAGAGAGCAATGTTAACAAGATATATGAAAGGTATTCACATAAAAAAAAATTCAAATCATTATTCTATTCAAATTTACCCAAAAAAAAGTAATAAGAGAAGTAGGTTGATCGTCAAAATTAGTTACCTAGATTAATACATCGAAGATATGATCAATGCATGTATAAGATGATAAGGAAATCAATAAATAAAACAGTCATATTTAAACGAAGATGGTCAATCAATGAAGACTAATAAATCGGAAAAACAATATTTAGATTTTTAAAAATTCGGAGGTGTGAAACAGTACTCAGAGAAACAAAATCTATCAAGGTCCACGGAAATCTATATATACAAACAAAGAGGTGTGAGAAAATAACAGTTGCGAAATTTTTAAGCTAGGGGTACAACGAATAAACACAATTTTTGGGTATAAAACTTTGCAATTTTTTGGATCATTAACAAATATAAATAGTTAGATGAGATAACGGAAACAATCTCATCCGTTAGATTAAAACGATGATCCCAGCAACCATAGAAAGTGGGTTTGAGCAACTAATTAACAAAGAGGTAATAACCATTATTACCTTTAGATGATAATGGCTAAGCAAATTTAAAGTCAAATAGGATTGGAAAAACAAAATTTGAAGAAACAATTGTATCAAGAAAATAGCTTTTTAAAATGAAATAAAACAAAACAATCAATAGTTTTTTTTAATAAAAACAAAGAGCTGTAGAATATTTATATATAGAACGAAAGGGTGTGACTGTGAAACATTGCACTGATTAAATTACAGGGGTTTTTATTAAAAGATGCATCCTTTTTAAAAGACACATCCTTTTAAAAAGACACGTTTTTGCTTTTATATATTCTGAGATTAAACAGTAACCTTTAGATCAAATAAAAATCAATCTGAACCGTTAGATTCAAAAGATGACATCAGCAGTAAACAAAAAGTGGGTTTGCTATTATATATAGATGTTATACTTTTATCAACATTTGCTGGTTTCTGTTTCATCTATGTATACGAAAAAAGTTGTATGTTAGATTAGTCCGTTTGAGATATAGTAATAACTACTTGTTCTTCACATTATTACTAAGGTCCAACATTGAAGTAATAATTAATTATACCATGAATAACAAAGACATAAACATTCAACTTCACAATCCTCCAAGACATATTCACTTAGACAGAAGCACATATATATATATGACTCGTCGTGCTAAATTATTGCCAAAATCTCAACCCTCTAATCCATCTCCTCTCTCTTACTCGCAACCTTTGGTTCTTGCAATTTTCTCTTCTAAAATCTTCATGGAAGGAGAAGAAGTTCCTTGGTAACTCTATTTCAATAAGCTCCATTTCTTATTTTATTTTCAAAAATATAATGTTTGATCTTTCTATATTTCATTCTAAACTAAAGATAGCCATTTAGATAAGCATACTAGCAGTTGACCCGCGCTGCGCGCGGGAGGTTTATAATTTTTAAGTTAATTTTTTTTTCATATTATGATATTTTATTTATTTTTTAATTGTTTTTCAAAACATATTATAGTTCTTTTCTCTTGAATTATTATCTTTCAGTATTTAAATTTGGATTAAAAACATTTTCTTTTGGGGAAAAATTTCAAAAATACCCCTTTTCATATACCTCTTTTTAAAAATACCCCATTTTCAAACTTTATCAAAAAACCACTAAAAATGTTGAAATTTATCCAAATATGTGTGTAAGTTTATAAATATACACACAGATTACTTTTATATGTGTATAAAACTTTATATACCTTTCATAAATAGCGTAAAAATAAATGATAAAAACCTTATAAAAACCGTATAAACCCTTTTAAAAACCTTTTAAAAACCTTATAAAACTTATAAAAACAATTTAAAATTATTTAAAACATTTTAAAATATTTGTATCGAATCTCCCAGTAGTAGTTATTATATAAAAGTACCTCATAAACTATATAAAACTTTATAATTTTTCTATTTAAAAAGGGGTATTTTTGAAAATAGATAGAAAAGGGGGTATTTTTAGAAAGGGGTACACCAAAAGGGGTATTTCTTAAAAATTCTCTTTTCTTTTTGATCATGTTATAAACTAATATATCACTTTCAATTTTATTTTTCCCCTTTAAAATTTTATATATACAATTACATAAATGTTGTTTTTATTCTATCATAAATTTTAAATTTACTTACATTCTTAAACTCAATAACACATTAAAAATTTTATAAACTATGATCAATTTAAAATGAAAGTTGAATTATATTATTACCACTAACTAATAAAAAATGAAAGTATTTCTTATTTAACATTTCATTTATTTACATAATTTATTTTTATTTATATAAATTTTCTATTAATTAAATAAGTAGCATAAATATGTACTAAATGAATGTTTTAAATTTATTTTAATGTAAAAAAATGTGGCTTAGGTGGATGCTTAGGTGGCATCATGAGAAGAGAGAAAAAGCTAACTTTATATATATAGATACTTTAGTATTTAGAAACTTTTACTTTTTATAAAAATATAATTTTTCCTTTTCATTTAAACCCAAAAATTAAGTGGTAAGTGAGTTAACATCCACTTATTTTCTTTTTGCAATTTTTGTTCATGATGTTTAGTAGTATTTCCTTTTTGTTATTGATTGGAAACCAAAACTCACTCTTTTTTGCTAACGTTAGCGTCTTTTATTTTTTATACCTAGTGTAATTGGTAATTTTCGTGTAAAATATATGGTTTGTTTGAAAAAAAAAAAAAGAATATTTATTTATTTAAAATTGAGATAATCCAGATTTTATATTAAATCAAGTGAGCCCTAGCGTGGAGCTACATGATTGGTCATTTGATTTTTCAATATATATATATATATAGATTTATTTTATTTTATTTTATATATTTTAGTTTTCCTTTTTACAAAAAGATTCTAATAATGGACAATGGTAAATAGATGATTAATCAAACCCTAAATCGAGATTTGTGTCCAGAGTAGTTGTTGTGACACAACTATGTTCCGTTTGTCTCTTCGAACAGCAGCAGCTGCCATACGACAGAAGAGAGAGAGAGAAAGAAGTTGGGAAGAAGCAGAACTAGGGAAAGAGCCATGCAAGAAACAGAAAATTAGGTTGCACCACAGATTCCTACGCAAGAAGAAGAAACAAGAGGTTGAGAATAAAAAGTTGAAAAGAAGCAAGCAAGATTGGAAATATTGTGTTGCGGCAGAGATTCCTCTGGATCTCCTGATCGAGATTCTGACAAGATTGCCTCCGACATCAGTAGTGAAACTCAAGTGTGTCTCAAAGTTTTGGTCATCTCTCTTGTCCTCTAGAGATTTTTCCAACCGTTTCCTCATGCTCCCATCTCAACCTCGTCTTTACATGACTTTATTGGACCGCCTCTTCTATTCCAAGTCTTTGCTCTTATCATCAGCCGCTCCAAGCCCGTTTCCTTCTACCTTCGAATTCGATCAAGACCAGACCGTTCGTAGGATGGGAGGCTTCGACCCACGCTTTCTCCATGGCTTTATTTGCTTCATGTACTATCTAAATGCACGGATCTATAACCCTAGCACCAGGCAACTTTATATCATACCTTTTATAAATAAAAAATCTGATATCATAGCTGAGTGCCGTGACGTTCATAACGATCCTTATACCATCCAGTACTATATGGGACACGACACTGTAAACGATCAGTATAAACTACTCTGCACAATATTGATAGGTGATATAGGAAAGCTAAGGCAAGAGTATTGGGTCTATGTTCTAGAAGGTGGTGGTTCGTGGAAAAGGAAGAGCGTTACGAATGATGTCCATCCTCATATTCCTAATGTATTAGCACTATGTATGAACGGAGCTATATATTATTGTGCGTGGACTGATGAATATACATGTGTGCTTGTGAGGTTTGATGTCAGGTCTGAAGAATTAGATATGTTGCAAGTACCTTGGGGGGACGGTGAGAAGGTAGCTAGACTTGACAAGACAGTGTCTCAAATGGATTATGCCGGGAAAGTGGCTGTTTTAGACATCACCATTATAAAAGAGACCGGTGTAATGTATCTATGGGTTGTGGAAGATTGGAGGAAGAAAGAATGGTCGAGGAAGAATTTGGTTTTGAAGCCTTGTCAAATGCATTTGGTTACTACCAATCAATTGAAAATAAGAGGTACACATCTAAAAGGTAGGATTCTTTTGTTTCCGATGGGATTGGTCTCTCCCTTTTACATCTTGTGCTATGATCTACAAACGAATGATTTAAAAAAGATTGAGATCAAAGAGATACCGGAGTGCTGGTTTAGTAAGGATGAAGATATAACATATTTTGATGTGGATTTCATGCATCCGAGTAAGAGCATTAGATACTTGGAAAATGAGGTTAAGCTTTTCAGATAATCGTTGTTTTTAGTTATTTTTTCTATCGAATCGTATTTTCTACATTCTTCTATCATTTTGTTTGGTTAACAAGTATACTTTATTCAGTTCTAGTGATTCTTTTTGAACTTTTGTGGTTAAATTTTACTTGGAAGAGAACATGAACATTTCAATATCAGAAGATTTTTAAAATAAGCTTTGATCTCAATATCAGAACATGAACATTTCACTATGAAGCATACAAAGTCCAAACCACTCATTAATTTAATTTATCAAGGAAAAATCTTTTACAGCAAAGCTACAAACCAACATGTGTTTTGTAATCCTAACCCAAAGTTTTTCATAACACAATATATATATTACAAATATACCCTTCTTTTATCTAATCACATGCAAGATTCTCTCTTTAAAATTTATAAAAATAAAAATAAAATTATTTCTTTTATAAAGCAACACATAATAAAAGAGCAAGAAAACTCCATAGTGAAAGAGAGAGCTAAGATAAGAAAAAAAAATGTCGAAAGAAGTGAGCGAAGAAGGAAGACATGGCAAAGACTACGTGGATCCACCACCAGCTCCACTTCTTGACATGGCTGAGCTTAAGCTCTGGTCTTTCTACAGAGCTATCATCGCAGAGTTCATCGCCACTCTCCTCTTCCTCTACGTAACCGTAGCTACAGTCATTGGCCACAAGAACCAAACCGGTCCTTGTGGCGGCGTTGGTTTACTCGGCATCGCTTGGTCCTTTGGTGGCATGATCTTTGTCGTCGTCTATTGCACCGCCGGTATCTCCGGTAATAATATTAACCTCAACAAAAACTTGTCCTAAAGATTTTACAAGAAGATATTGCATTTTGAAGATCTTGAAAATATCAAGTTGTTTAAACGCAGGAGGTCACATCAATCCAGCTGTGACGTTTGGTTTGTTCTTGGCTCGAAAAGTGTCGCTCCTTAGAGCGGTGGCCTATATGGTGGCTCAGTGTCTTGGAGCCATTTGTGGAGTTGGACTCGTTAAGGCCTTCATGATGACTCCATACAAAGGTCACGGAGGTGGAGCTAACACTATTGCTCATGGCTATAGCACTGGAACTGCTCTTGGTGCTGAGATTATTGGCACTTTTGTCTTGGTTTACACTGTCTTCTCTGCCACTGACCCCAAAAGAAGTGCCCGTGACTCCCATGTCCCGGTTAGTATAATATTTCAAACTTGGTTTTTTTGTGTAATTTTCATCTAAAGTTGAAATCTTTTGAATGTTGTTGCATGATATAATTTCATGGTTCTCAAAATGGGTTTGTGTAATTTTATAACAAAGTTGAATAATTTTCATAGGGTTTTTCTCATAATGGGTTTGTATAATTTCTTGAAAATTCTTGCTAGGTATTTCATATGGGTTTGTGTAATTTAGAGTAAAGTTTAATATTTTGAATATATTTCATAGGTTTTTTAAAATGGTTTAGTGTATAATTAATATTTTTTACAACTTTTCAGCATGTGGTTGTGTAATTTATATGGGGGAAAAAAGTTGAAAATGTTTTTTTTTTTTGTTTTATAGGTTTTGGCTCCTTTACCAATTGGGTTCGCTGTGTTCATGGTGCATTTGGCTACTATCCCCATTACTGGAACTGGGATTAATCCAGCTAGAAGCTTTGGTGCTGCTGTCATCTACAACGATAAGAAAGCTTGGGACGACCATGTAAGTATTAGTCCTCTCTCTCATTTACATTTTACAATCAGTTTTAGTTAGTTTTTGTCAAATAATTATTGATTGAACTTTTGGTGTTAATGGATTTGAAACTGAAGTGGATCTTTTGGGTTGGACCGTTCGTGGGAGCATTAGCAGCAGCAGCATACCATCAATATATCTTGAGAGCTGCAGCAATCAAAGCCTTGGCTTCATTCCGCAGCAACCCAACCAATTGATGCATGCATGAGAGAGACTTCTTAGAAACTATCTATAAAAAAAAAAAAAAAAACTATCGAAATGCACTATGTTGTGTGTGTCTGTTTTTTAGCTTTTAATTTGGTGTAATCTTTTGTCTTTTGCGGACTTATTCAATTTCATATAGTTAAGTTTGGTTTTCAATTCATCTTTGTATCGTTGCTTTATTTCATGTAGGACACATCTTAATATCTTATGCTTCACTTTTACATTATAGTCGGAACTTAAAACATTCCTTTGTGTTTTTGTCTTATGGTACTTTAGATTCTTCTTATCCGATGGTCAGATCACAAACCACTCACATATTGACACATGGTCCTTAGTTAGAAGTAGGAATCTAAACTAATATATAGCTAAAGCCTTAAGCCTTGGGGCATGTAATAAGGATAGAGTTTAGCAAATACGCAAATGTTACAACTCACACGTCTCGTCTTTTCAGAAAAGCAGAGACAGAGAGGATTTGGTGTGGTCCTTTTGATAAAGAGGTCAAAAATTTCGAAAAGGGTTCAAAAAGCAAACGAAGATGGAGAGGAAAAAGATAAAGGACCACCTCACCAAATGGTCCACACTTCAACTTTCTTCACTCTTCACAATGTAGCCGTTATGACTTATATGCCTTGGTCGGTTCGGTTTGGCTGGTTAAACGTAAACTTCCGGTTTACCTATTTGTCTACCTCGGTGATAACCACGGTGGTATCCGGAAATCACAGTTGATGAGAATGAAGTTCGTACGACTAGGCCTGGCAAAAAAACCGGAACTGAAAATCCGAACCGGAACCGATCCAAAAAATTAAATCTGAATCCGAAATTTTTGATTTATCCTATTGGGTCCTAAATTTTTCTACCCGAAAACCTAAAAGTGAACTCGACCCAAACTCGAACCCGAAAATACCCGAAATATAAAATATATAAATAATATAGAATCCGAAGTATGTACTCGAATACCCGAACCCGAAAATCTGAATTTTTACAAATTTTTGGATATTTTGGATAAAATTTCGGGTATTTGTGTACCCAAAATTTTTTGGACTTTTAACAGTTATAAAAATTTATACCTGGACCGACCCGAATCCAAGTGGACCCGAACCAAATTTTTAGATTTACTTTATTGGATTTTAAACTTCTCTACCCAAAAAACTCGAACCCGAACTGTTTTTACCCGAATCTGGCCCCGAGTACCAATGCCCAGGGCTATTCGTACCCACAATCCTGAGCTTTGGCTCTTCATCAGCTGATTCTAGTTTTGAGAAGGTAACAGAAAGAAGTAAAAAAGGGTAAAAACAATTCTTGTTACCGTTTTGTTCTCTCTAGCGAGAGAATTTACCACTGGTATAGAATTTTGTTTGGATTTAAAAGTGGCTAAAGAAAAGGTTCATTCTACAATTTGGTTCTCTCTCAAGGACAATAAAGCAGACAACAGCATAGAAGTTTACTTTTTCGAACCAGATAGCCATTCCCTTGTTTCCAACCATGTGAGCTCAAGAAGGTTAGTCGGGTAATGCAGTTCCACGTTCCAAGTTGTTTTTGATCTCCAGTGTGTATTTTCCAAACGCGCGCTCGATCTTCTTGTTGAAATGCTCGTTTCTGTCGTTGATGGAATCGATATCCTTCTCTTCCCGGAACTTTCTCCTCCTGCTGAACTCTTGTCGCTTTTGTTCTCTGTCGAAGAGCTCTTTTGCCATCTTATCTATCTTATCTTGTGAAGTTTTTGGAGCCTGTAAAAGTTTAACAAAAGGATTGAGCTTTTCTATGACTCATTGCTTTACAGATTTGAGTCTAAAGTTGACCAAAATGACAATCACGAACCTTCCCATATTGCAAGCTTGAGGCCTCACGGTAGAACTCAGGATCAGCTGCTCTCATTCTGTTATACTCCTCTAGATCAACCTGAATGTTCTTTGTCCGTTTCTTATATGCGTTGTATAACGTCTTCTGGTTAAAAACTGAAGAAACATACAATATTTCACACATAAGCCTCCTAATAATTGAGTTATAAACAAGATAAAACATAACAAATGATAAGAGAGCAAAGTAACAATTGAGTAAGAATTTCACGTACCATCCCAACCAGCAGGCGTAGGTTCCTTTTCCCATTTTTTGTATTTTGATTCTGCTGCTTCTTGAGTATCGAGCATATAAGCCTTTGTCATATCTAAACCATTTGCATCAAGAATTTTACCAATCTTTTTCTTCCTCCCCTCCAACCATTTCTGTTTTGAGATTCCTTTCAACTCTTTTGGTGCTTCCATTTTCTTCTTTTCACTCCCGACATCAGTCTGATTGGATTTTCTAGCTTCATTCTAAGAAAAGTAAAGGAAAAATGGACGAGTTACATTTGCAAAATCTTTGTTGGATTTTTAAAGAGTTACTGTACAAAAGGACTTACCATCTTAAGTCTCAACTCGAACAACTTCTTCTTCCTCCCTGTAAGTTGAGTCACGTCTACTTCAGGTTCTTGGTTATCCTCTTCCTCCTCTTCTTCTTCAGAACTATCTTCCTCTATTCTTTTATCATCGAGTGAATCCCTTGCTTGCTCATGAACTTTAGCACCCACACCGACAGCTTCAGCTAATTCTTTTGTCACATGAAAAAGAAAAACAAGTCTCAGAATGGGAATCTACATGCTTTATATCAGAATTACACGATTTTCTCATAAGACAGAACATCGCATTGACAAATAACATGTCAATATCTGTGTCTGCAAAGAGTGTATAAATTACAGACTTAAAACTCAGCCACACTGTAGCATCACTAGAAACTCAATGCGCAAATTCACTAACAGCTCTCTAAACAAATAGCATAGCAAACAAACAATAAACCTCAAACAACTACTGCTATGCATCAAAATCATAAACCATAATCACAGGAAACGAATCAACACAGACGATAACAGCTAAACCACAAGAATAGAGAAAGAACACAAACCGGCATTCTGCTTCTCCAATCTGGCCTTGACTTCAGCAATTTTCTTAAAGCAATACTCGACACACTCATGATAAGGATTCGACGCGTTTATACAGTCCGGATGCACTCTTCTCGCATTATCCATATTTCCAAGCGTACAAAACTGCTAAAAAAAAAACAGAAAAGTAGAGTTATCCAATTTAGCATTGAGATCTGAGAATACCAACCAAAAAGGTACAAGTAAACAATACTACATCCCAAAACTATACAGAGGCAACTAAACAACTAAATCCACACAACAAGCTGATGCAAAGTAAGATCTTAACTGAGTTCAATGCAAAATCCCAAATTTGCATCTTTATACAACACAAGCACCTAATGAGAACTTAACTGGGTTCAATGAACAAAATCCTAATTTGTTCAAACCCTAAAATCAGGAGAAGAATCCTAAACTTACAAAACACCATAAATCACCATCGATTTCGAGATTCAATGTAAGAGAAACACAGAATTTTTCGTAACATCTTGACGAAAACCTAATGGAAACATACATAAACCATCTCTACTCAAACCAAACGATTGAAATCGATAGAACAAAATCAAAACCCTACGAACACAGAGAAGTATAAATCTTAACTCAAGAAACCAACCTGTGAAGAAACAATCCCCAAGTATGAGATTGAGACGAACACCAGAAATTTTCGCAAACAATAATTTTTTCTTTTTCCTCAGTAGAGAGAAGAAGAGATGGAAAGAATCTTAAAAAAAAGGAAAATTTCAGAAAATAAAAATCAGTGAAAAAGAGATAACTTGATGGGTTACAGATGGGCCTGTAAAATATGATTTGGGCCGATAAAATTAGTGGCTGTTCTATACTGACTTTAACTAATCCTAGAAAGATGTAAATAAATTCAGTCTATGTTTTTCTTATTTGATTTACAATTTTTAATTATTGGGAGGTTGATTTTTTAAAAAGTTTGTGGATTTCAAAAGTTTAGAATTTTAAGATTCTTTAAAAATTTTGTAGATTCTAAAATGTTGTTTACCCCGCTTTTTAGAGATTAGTATATTCTTCATATGATATATTTTACAAATACTTATGATAAGTCCAGTATTTTAGAAGTTGTTTTTAATGACCAAATATGTAGGAAATCATTTTCTCAATAACAGGATTTGATAGAATTGTAAATACTCAACTTTTCTAATAACAAAAGATTTTTAATAGAATTACAAAATAAAAAAACTTTATCAAGAATCTAAGAATTCATAAACCAATAGCAATCAAATTTTAAACTCTAAATATCTTTAAACCAATTACCCCTCAATCTATGGTTCTCTATGAATTGTTAGTTTTTTCTTTTTTTTTTAATCATTTTAAACATACGAAAACTATATAGGTCTTTTTGCAAATATTTGAAAGTATAATTTAACAAAATCGAAATACAAAAGGAAAACAAAAAAGTTCTCCTTCAACCAGTGTAAGATTTAGAATGCCCCTTTAATCTTCCTCTATTACATAGTTCGTTTATTACATCTGAGTAAGCAATAATAGGTTCAGTGTTATGTTCCTCCTTTGATTCACTTGTGGCTGGCTTGTTCTCTGTTTCTGCCTGCAAATTCTGTTTCATCGAGCCGAACTTTACAGAAATTTTCTCCAACAGTTCATCTGCTTCACTCAGCTTACCATCTTTCATAAGTGAAGTGATGATACTGTTGTACGTGAACCGATCAGGCTCTAGTCCTTTCTCCTCCATTTCTGATAGAAGATCATATGCTTCTTTTAACTTCTTGTCTTTGCAGAAAGCCGAGATCATCGTGTTGTATGTAACTGTATCAACCTCTCTCTCCTTGATAAGTGTATTGAAGAAATTGAGAGCCTTTTCTGTCATACCTTCCTTACAAAGACCATTGAGAAGAATGTTGCATGTATAGTTATCAGGCTTGAAAGAGTGTTTGATCGATTCGTTGTAAAACTCGAATGCTTTCTCAACTCGTCCTTCTTTGCAGTATCCTAGGATGATTGAATTGAAAGTACTATCATCTGGAAGCAAACCATTCCCGGCAAGCTCATCGAATTTCTCCATTGCTAGCTCAGTTTTTCCATGGTGACAGAGACCTCCAATTAAAGAGTTAAAGGTGCTCACGGTAGGAGTAATCTTTATCTTCTTCATCTCGTCCCACATCTCCAAAGCTTTCTCCACTTTTTCTTCCCTGAAGTATCCTGTGATTAATGTGCCATAACTAACCTCGTCAATAATATATCCTCGTTTGTGTGCATTATTCAGCAAATTGTATGCTTCATCAGGTTTCCTCTCTTTACATAGAGCATCAAGAATGGTATTAAGGGTAATAGTATTCATCTTAATGCCTTTTTGCCCCATCTCACGCATCATTTCAAGGGCACCACTCAAATCTCCTACTTTCAAATATGCTTTAATTAGGGTATGATAAGTTACTCTGTCAGGAGAAAACCCGTGCACTTCCACCAATTCCTTAACCTTTCTAGTAACCTCTTCCCTATTCTCTTCCTTACAAAGCCACTTAACAGAGATATTATGAGTCACTTGGTTAGGTTTAACTCCATCATTTTCCATTTGCTCCATTAACTTCCTAGCCTCCAAACTAATCCCAAATTCGAAACACCCATCAATCAATGTATTGTAAGTAACCACATCTGGCTGTAACTTCAAATGCTTCATCTCATCCATTAATTCAAGAGCTTCCCTGACACTTCCCGCATTGCACAGCCCATTGATCAACATGTTATAGGTCCAAAGATCCGGTAATATGTTTGTTTGCTTCATCAGCTCCACAATCTGAAATGCTTCTTTCAACGAACCCAGCTTACAGTAACCATACACTAAATTATTGTAAGTAACCCTATTTGGCACCAACCCAAACTTCTTCATATCCAACAACAATGTCTTAACATCATTCAAACGCCCTTTCGTAGACATTGCTTTCAGAATCGTATTGTAAGTAACATTATCAGGATTCACACTGAACTCACTAACCATCCTCTCTAACATTCCTACAGCATCATCAAGCTTTCCTTCTAAACAATACCCATTAACCAAAACATTGAAAGTTTGCACATTTAGCGAGACACCAAGCTTAACCATATCATCAAACACTTCTCTAGCACTCGAGAGAGAGAAAGTAGAAGGGTACCTAACTAAACCAAGGAGAAGAGTGTTGCAAGTGAGCAGATTTGGTTTGAGCTTTAATCGAATCATCTTCTGAAAGATCTGTAACGCAACGTGAGGCTTTCCGGCATGAAGATACGAACTGAGAGCAATGTCGAACAGAGCCTTAGAGGGATGAGGCGAGAGATGAAGATTCGGGTGGAGGAGAGAGTTGCAAAGAGAGAGAGATGCATCAGAGGTGCGGATGTAGGAGACGAGAAGAGACTTGGCGTCAGCGAATTTGTGGTGGGAGAGAAGAGAACGGACTACGGTGAGAAGGGGAAGAGGGGAATTCGATGGGAATGCTTCTGGGATTGAAGTCTGTGCCCATTGGTAGAAGGAGACTAGGGTTTCGGGTTTCTTAGCGAGTGAAGGAGAAGAGAGGAGAGAGGTAAGGAGAGGCTGTGTGATTTGAGGGATGTAGGGATTTAGGGTTTCGAGCAAATGGGTCTTCTCTGAAGTGAGGATTGATGTTAGGGTTTTTAGTAATTGAGATTCCGGTGGCTTCAAAGTCGCCATTTTTGTTGACAAACAGTTGAATTGATTGCATCGTTTGGAAGAAGAAGAAGCTACGAAAATGAAGGTTTTCACTGTGATGGCTAAAACTGTAATGTGTAAACTAAACCGGGATTAGCCTGAACCGGAAATTGGAAGACTCGGTTTGTATGATTAACCAAACGCAATGGACACTGTCGTTTCAGGATTATGAAGAAATTGTTTTTTTTTTTTTAAATTAGTTTGTTTGAGTTTAGATGTTGAAAATAGGAATGAGAAAGATTTCAGTTTTATTGGCAATAAATTTTTTAGATAGAAAATTAGTAGTTTTGATTTTTTGAATCTTGATAATAAAAAAACGTATGTGGAACTCTGCACAAAGAAAAAACATGTTTTCATTAGGTAATTGCAAACATATTTAGGAAATATATTTTTATAAACTATGTAGATATCATCCCTTCATTATTTTGCGCAAATTCTTTGTGATTTGATTAACCGTAAAAGTATATAATATTTAAAACAATGAAAATATTTTGTGAAAAAGGAACTCTATGAAGAAGAATCATATTTTTCATATTTTTGTGACTAAATGAAGTTTGGTTACTTTGTTGGACAACTAATTCAACTCTCACTATGCGGGTTTTATTTGGTTACCAGGTTATCATGTAATGAATTTAATGTGGGAAACAAAAACCAATTTGCGTGGTCTGAAGACGCCTTTGAAGGAAAAAATAATCTAGCTATGTTGTATATCTTTGCGATACTGATATATAGTAGTCGAAGATTCTCATATTTGTCAATTAGGCAAAAATGAAGAGGATAAAAAGTTATATATGCTTAAGAAAAGAGTAATTAAAACTACTTATATACTATAAATTATTTTTGGTTTAAGAATGAGTTGACAGTTTTTAATGTATAACAATCTTCAACATTAGTTTGTTAATTTGAGTTGGAAACGAGTAATTCTTTCTTCACTAAGTCAAACAATACCATTTTCAATCAATTATTCCAACAACTTAACAATTTCTTTTTTTTACCATTCAAATATTTTATTCCACTTCATATATTAAAATCAATCGTTGTTTTATTTCATCAGTTAGCTTTCGAATTATATTTTATAATTTAATATACAACAAAAATTTGAACTATGTATTTATTCTTTTGATAATGATTCACATATGTAACTCAATTTTAATTTCATGATAATATAATGACAATAAAAACATTTCTTTCCCAACAAAATCGAAATTTTAGTATTAAAACAGTATTTTTGGGTCTCTTACTAATACTTATTAATATTTTGATTTTAATTTCTACTAAAGTTAAACATGATGAAGAATGGATATTTTTTTTTTGTTTTGAAGAGAATAAGTTCATTCACAATAAAAAAGACTTTACAAAACTAAACGGTAGTTCACTTTTTGTTCATCACCTCCTTCCAGTAGTAGTCATTCATTTTTAGTTGGTGCTTAAATTATCATAAAAATTCCAGAATAAATAAACAAGGAAAGAGAAATTTATCAAATTTGTTATATTCTTAAATAGTTAATTTTTTTAAAAAAAAATCCAGATTCCATATGTGTAACTTCAAAAATCAGAATTGGATTTATGTGTAAGTGATTTTTTTTCAAAGCATGATCTCACAGTCTATATGCAAGAGAGAGAAAAAACATATCAAACTAATTAATATCATTCAACTAAACATTCTTTTTATGTTAAATACATTATGACAAATTTATTTAATTCAGTTCCTAACAAATTACTGTCCTACTTTTGTTCTTTGATGCACCAAATCATCAATGATGCTAAGAGATGGCTAAACTAAACACCAATATATATTATATATATATCTATATATATATATATATATATATATATATATATATATATATATATATATATATATTTATTTATTTATTTATTTATTATCATTTTTCTTACCAGTTGGTTGATCCGAGATTGTCATAGAAAATCATTCCCTAATCCGATAACACAAAAACAAGACACAATATTGGAAAGTAAAAAAGGTATTAAAGTTCATTCAGGTAAATATACTAAAATTTGTACATTACCATTAGCAACCAACCTGTAATATAATAAGATGATCAAAATACTGGCTAGCTACAAAATTCAAGTGAACTTCTTTTCTAAGAATGAATATATACTTCATAGGGTTTATTGAAAAAGTATAGTGAGGAAAAAGAAACATACTCATTAGGAATAAAATATATAATCTATTAACAAAAGAAAAGGAAAAAAAGGTTCTCTTCTGAAATGTTATGTTCTCCTACCAGGTTTTAGACTCTTAAAATGTCAAAATATTTAAGCTTTTTAACAACATTTAGTCTACTAATTATCAAAGTAAACATTAGATATTTTATGTTATTAATGTCGAAGAAACAAAGCCAACATGACAAAAGTGAACGTCTAGCAAAATAAGTGAGAACAAAGTGTGTGTACCATGTATAACTTTTGAAAGGAAACTCATTTTTTATTTGATATATCGAGTGTATGTATATATGTCCCTTAAAATTTGCATATTATAGTAAAAATGCATATAAATTTAAAAGTTAAAAACTAAAAATGAATAGAATAAAAAACAAGTAACAAATATCCACTAGAAATCAAACATAAGGATTCAATATAGCAAATGTCTTATGTTATATTAACTTTCTAAAAGTTTGTGTTGGCTATGTAAATTTGGATTTAGAAAAGTCGACATTATATAATTTCTAGAAGTTTTTTTTTTTGCTTCTTAAATCTCTACTACAACGTTTTTTTTATACATGAAGCTTCATAATTTAGTTTACATGTTTGTACAACGTATAAATTTTACGGACCACTGTCGTCCCCTGCCTAAAAGTGAGAGCGGTCAAGGTGATCCAATGCAGACAGAGCAAGGTCTTGATTTAAGTATAAAGTAGATATATAGAAGAAGAAGAAGTAATTGCATTTACGTATCTACAAAAGTATCATAAAGATCTAGGTGTAGTGCAAAGAAGGTAAGTCTAAATACGACTAAAAGGCAAGAGGACAAATAGAAACAACCATACAAAAAATAAAGAAAAAGTAAGAAAAAAAAAACGAACGGCGAGACATTGCCTAGAACGACATTGTCACGGTTGGCTATAAAGCGGAAGTGGGGAGAAACAATAAAGGACGTCGTCGAATGGCTTATGTCCATGTCAATTGCATTATAGTGTTCGTTTCTAGAAGAAACTTAATTATATATATGTCCATGTCAATTGCATTAGAGAACCTAATGGTCTTTGCTTCTTCTGAGAAAAAAGATACATAACACATGTCATGTCTTGTCCAAATGGCTTATTAGACCATTTGTTAAGAAAAACTTTTAGATATGTTTAATAATTTTGACGTTTAATATATATGTGGTTTAATGTGAAGTTGACGTTTAAGAAGATTATACGCATGCATGAGTGATAGATAGTTATACGCATGCATGAGTGATAGATAGTTATATATAACTTATATATAAAGCTATAGGCATTATAGGGGAGACGACCTGATATGTCAATTTTGAGTTTTCATAATGCATGAATTATCACTTTTTCTAGTGATAATTGCTTTTTAAGACTATTAAATGGCAAAGTTTATTCTTGCATGCAAAAAAGTTCATAGATTAGAATTTATGGGATTTCGAGCGGTTTAAATTATTATCTTTATATTATTTTTGTTGAACAAAATTCGGGTAATGATATTATGATAATTCACTACTATAAACTAATGTTATGCTATATGTAAGTTTGGCTATATACATAATTAATCTTTGACTATACACGTTATTGTTGTTTAAATTTTGTGATTTATATAATTGGTATAAATGTATAATTATAATTCCCTATATATGCTCTTGTGTTTATTATAGTTAATGATGATTCAAGAGTTTACAAGTAAGATGTAAAAGTATGTTACAAAAATAATACTAGCTCCGATCATCCTCAGCCTATTAAGTGAACGAAGGTCATCTACTAATAGACAAACAAATCGTGTTGAGTATGCAAAAGTAAATACCTCTTGTGTGATGCATAAATTAAGCTCTCTATTTTATGCTATTTAAAAATATGTATATTAAATGCATCGTTGAGGTAGAAAAATTTTAGCTGATCAAAAACCTAAAGTCTAATTGAAAATTGATTTCACTGATTTGTAACAAATTAATAATATAATTATTTAGTTTTTGTAAAATTATAATATATATATATATATATATATATATATTATGGTGTACATACATATTGGACTATACCAATACTGTGTATATATAATGGGATTTTCCTTTTGCTCTTCTCATATATCATCGATGTGCATGTTTCCATCTTAAAAGAATGTTCAAGTTAATGAGAAACGATGACTAATTTTGTAAACGATGACATATTATGTCGTTGAAAATAAGATGTATATGTCACTACAAAAAAAATGGTTGATTGCATCACTTAAATAGTATCACAAATATAAATGATATCATTTTAAATTATTTATTAATAAATGATGTAAAAAATATAGTTTAGTATCAGTTATAATAATTGATGTGGTATTCGAATTATTTGACATCGATTCAAAAAAATTGATATAATTTAATTTTAATTTGCATCACTTCAAAAATATTTGATACAAAATATAAATTCACATCACTTAAAATAATGATACAAATTAAATATCAATTAAATAAATGATACAAAATTGATATCAATACTAAAATGATGCTAACTAACACATATTTGATTAAAAATTAATTTATATTTATTATATATAAAAAAGAATTCATTAGCGTAGATTTTTCTGTTTGGAATCAAGATTTTTCATTTTCAAATGTCGAACCTTGTTTTTTTTTTTTTGGTTTAAATTCCTCACTCTTTATATGATTTATTAAAAATCTATATTCATGTATAAAAACTATTTTTAAAAAATCTTAAACTGAAAATTCTTTTCCACACTACCCAAATCCACGATCTTTGTAACTACTGAAAAAAATATTCTTTGTGATTATATAATGGTGAAAATGCTTCTCTCCTTCTCCAAATCAGGAAAAACAAAAGCAAGAAAAATGGAAGTGAATCAAAGGACAACTTTGCAGAAGTTTTTGTTTGAATACCAAGAAGACTGCTATTGAATCAAATTGTGCAACTACATCACATCTTCGACACATAATCATCACGTCTACACACCACATTTGAAGGCAAATAATTTTTCTTTTTCACTATATCATATCAAATTTTTTTTATTTTATCATGTAAACTATGATTTTTTTATCTGTTATTTTTGGTTTATATACTCAGAAAAATCTCAAGATGAAACAACAGTGTCATCCAGACAATAGAAAGGAAAGGCATGGAACAAAAACAAGATGTGTTCATATAACACTTAAGCAAGAAGAAATCACCTCGGTTATGAATTTAGGATCTATGCTCATATCAGTTTTTTTCTCTTGTAAATCGATGATGAATATATATTAATTAGATTTATTTTCATTTTTGTAAATGACGATTTTAATTACAATTTAAATAAAGATTTGTTAAGATTTTAATAGATACGAAAAAGATTTTGGCATATTTAAAATAATTTCGAAAATAAATATCTTTTATTAGTTTTTGAATAATATATAACAATAAATTTTTTATTAGTATCGGTTATTCATAAATGATACCAATTTTTAAAATCAATTATAAAAACTGATACAATTAATTAAAATCATTTGTTATAACTGATCTAAATATAGCATCAATTAGTAATAAATTGATGCAAAATATTTGCATCGACACATTAGAAATCACTTACTTAACTGATGCAAGACTCTTTTACATCATTTATAAATAATGCAAATATAAAAAATAAATGATGTTAGATAAAAATTTTAGCTGATCAAAAACCTAAAGTCTAATTGAAAATTGATTTCACTGATTTGTAACAAATTAATAATATAATTATTTAGTTTTTGTAAAATTATAATATATATATATATATATATATATATATATTATGGTGTACATACATATTGGACTATACCAATACTGTGTATATATAATGGGATTTTCCTTTTGCTCTTCTCATATATCATCGATGTGCATGTTTCCATCTTAAAAGAATGTTCAAGTTAATGAGAAACGATGACTAATTTTGTAAACGATGACATATTATGTCGTTGAAAATAAGATGTATATGTGTATTTAAAATGATTTTAGTGCACAAACTCTATTGTAGTAATTGTTATGCTATTTCGATAATAACTACTTAATTAATCAATATTACTTCCTATATATAGTAGGCTTGCGGACCGAACACAACATATCGTGAGATTTAAGAAACATCCAAGTCCAAGATAACGGACAGAACACATGGCAGAATCAACAACACATCATCATGTGGTCCTCTTCCCATACATGTCAAAAGGCCACACCATCCCTCTCCTCCAGTTCGGTCGTCTCCTCCTCCGTCACCAACGCAAAGAACCAACCACTTCCTCCATCACCGTCACCGTCTTCAGCACACCCAAGAACCAACCTTTCGTCTCAGAGTTCCTCTCCGACACACCCGAGATCAAAGTCATCTCTCTCCCTTTCCCGGAAAACATCTCCGGGATCCCTCCCGGCGTCGAGAGCACGGACAAGCTCCCTTCCATGAAACTTTACGTCCCATTCACGCGTGCCACGAAGCTTCTCCAACCATTCTTCGAAGAAACACTCAAGAATGATCTTCCACAAGTTTCCTTCATGGTCTCCGATGGCTTCCTCTGGTGGACATCGGAATCTGCAGCTAAGTTCAAGATTCCTAGGTTGGTCTTCTACGGCATGAACTCTTACGCCTTCGCCGTCTCCATCTCCGCCAACAAACACAAAATGTTCACCGAGCCGGCAACTAAATCTGATACCGAGCCGGTTACTATACCGGACTTTCCTTGGATCCAGGTCAAAAAGTGTGATTTTGACAATAATGCTTTCGATCCGGACAAGCCGGATCAAGCGCTCGAGCTATATAGGGAACAAATCATGTCGACCACTACAAGCCATGGGTATTTAGTGAACAGCTTCTACGAACTTGAGTCAAAATTCGTTGACTACAATAACTCTAATGGACACAAGTCGTGGTGTGTCGGGCCATTGTGTTTGGCAGATCCTCCTAAACCGAAGAAGAGTGCTAAACCGGCTTGGATCCATTGGTTGGATCGGAAGCGAGAAGAAGGGCGTCCAGTTTTGTACGTGGCTTTTGGAACACAGGCAGAGTTATCGGACAAGCAGCTAATGGAACTAGCTTTAGGGTTGGAAGATTCAAAGGTACGTCGACTACACAAATTAGGCATTACTAGTAAGGTATGGTATAATAAATGCATCTCGAGTAATAAATTAGGCATTACTAGTAAGGTATGGTATAATAAATGTATGTCGAGTAATAAATTAAGCATTACTAGTAAGGTAAGGTATGTTTAATGACGTGTTTGATTATTTAGGTGAACTTTATGTGGGTCACGAGGAAAGATGTGGAAGAGATACTTGGAGAAGGATTTAAAGATAGAATAAGAGAGAGTGGGATGATAGTGAGAGATTGGGTAGACCAATGGGAGATATTGTCACATGAGAGTGTCAAAGGATTCTTGAGCCATTGTGGTTGGAACTCAACGCAAGAGAGCATATGCGTTGGCGTCCCGTTGCTAGCTTGGCCGATGATGGCCGAGCAACCTTTCAACGCAAAGATGGTTGTGGAGGAAATAAAGGTTGGAGTAAGAGTTGAAACTGAAGATGGGAGTGTGCGAGGATTCGTGACAAGAGAGGAACTAAGTAGAAAGGTTAAAGAACTAATGGAAGGAGAAACGGGAAAAATCGCAAGAAAGAATGTAAAACAATACTCGAAAATGTCAAAAGCAGCCTTGGTCGAAGGGACTGGTTCATCTTGGAAGAACTTAGATTTGATTCTTGAAGATTTATGTAAGAGTAGAGAGTCAAACGGTGCTAGTAAATAGAGAAATGGGTTTGAGGATTGGATAACTTAACCGGCTTTAGACCGTGTCCATTTACTAAAACCAGTACACCCATTATACATCATGTATTCATGTACAAGTCTCGGTTTAAGTTGAAAACTTGATCTTGATAAAAATACTAGACATTTCATTTGATGGTTTTGACTAATATTTTAGTTTATACCCCCTTCGTATCAATTTTAAGTGATCTTTTAGAGAGAACAAAAAATACTTCAAATTAAGTGATATTTTTAAATGTCTTGAATATTTGTTGACCAATTAGATTTTTTATTGGTTGAATTAAGTTGATTTAATGATTTTTTATGTAAAATAGGTAAATTAAATGAATATTTTGTGTTTTATTAATTGATACGTGAAAACCTTAAACATCATTTAAATTATAACGGAAAGAGTATTAATTATTTTTAAGTGTTCATTTACGATAAGTTGAACTTATAAACTAAACTGATTTATAATATGATCACAAAGTGATTGGGTGCTATGTCTAGCTTGTTTCCAACGTATTTTAGTTTAACACCTAAAAGTTTTTACTATAAAAACATTTTTTTTAAACTTCACAACTTTACTTCAAAATATTAACTATAAAAAATCTTAAAACCTAAGTGTTAAATTTATAATACACGAAAACATGTTGAACTTATACACCACAGACGGACCACAAAGGGACTGGATGCTCGGCCCAGTTTGTTTTCAACGCATTTAAGTTTAACACTTAGATTTAGCCCAAAAAGAACATTTTGATTTATTAAAAATTAAACTTTACTTGAAATTTGATGTTAAAAAATCTTGATTGTCAGGCAAATTCAGAAAACTAGAAATACAAAACATAAAAAAAATTAATGTATATTTTATTTTTATATCAAAATCAATTGTTCTTAATTTATTTTTATTTTAAAAAAGTTAGAAAGTTGAAACATACTTGTGAAATTAAGTATCCTGAGGCTAGTCAGTGGTCGTTATGAATTCTGCTACACATAATACAAAACAAACCCATTAGGGATTTCATAATTCGACACAAAGTAAAAGTATTTTGATAAAATTAAAGACAATTATTACTAACCTGCTAATATATCACTGCTGACGGACCAGTTCCGACAGACTATAACTCCAACGGACGAGTTCTGGCAGATCACAGTCAGTTCTGATGAACTATAACCAGATTCAGCGTACCAGTTTCGACCAAACAGAAAGACGAGTTATGATAGACCAGATCTGGTGAATCATTTTTTGGTGGACAAAAACTAGTTAAGATAGACTTGTCCTATGTGACAAAAACCGGCGGACCATTTCTGGTGACCTGATTCGGCGGACCAGCCAGACGATGAAACAAGTGATGCGGTTATTACACTATGGACAATACATTTTTCTGTAGATGGACAAGATTCGGCGAACCAATTTTGGTCGACTAGTTATGGCGGATCAGATGTAATGGACAAGATCTTGTGGACGAGATCTCTTTTTCTATTTTAATTTTGTCTATCGTTTTGTTTTGTCTTTTTCTGCGAAGGCAAAATCGTCCGAGCTTCCCTCTTTGTGGCACGTTTTGAAAGAGGTTTTTGTTAATAGCACTTTAACAAATTTGAGTTTTAAAAATGGCATAGCAAACAAAATTCCCTTGTTTTTATTTATTTGAGAGACCCAACTAAATACTACCGATATTGATATTATAATAAGCAATCATTTTTATTTTTTGAGTTTTATTGCACATGTGTTGTCACTTTCAAAACTTAAGAATGGCATAAAATGTCAAAGGCAGTAATGATGAAATGTCAAAGGTTATTGGTTGTAAAACTAGTAATCATGAACAAAGACAGTAAACTGCAATTATTCATATGAATGAGATGAAAAGATTTATATATTAAAAAAATGAATAGCTTTCATCATTTCATTTTCTATAGGGTTGATGAAAACGTTTGTTTTTCTTTTATTTATTCATCACATTAAAGATGAAAGAGATAAATAATAGATTTTACATTTTTAACCTAGTGATTATCAAATGAACAAAATTAAAATATGAAATTGGGGAGCCATGTTCGTTAATTACTTCACCTTACACTACCGTGTACACTGTCCATGATCGAACATGACCCTCTGTAACATAGGTTTTTTACTTTGTCATCCTAGTTTCATGACTTTAATTTATAGTGTGACCTACACAAATTTGTATTGAGGCAATATAAAGTTTTGTATTTGATTCTACCGTAACGTTTTGTATAGATTCGCATCCCACTCTCTATTATTTGTAAGGTATGGTAAATGCACATGTCTACCTAGTCAATACTGTTTCACTTTCAGGATCGTATTTTGTATCATTTCAGGTCAGAATTTTGTTGGTCACGAGAAAGATGTGAAAGAGATTATTGGAGAAGTATTCAAAGATAGAATAAGAGAGAGTAGGATGATAGTGAGAGACCGGTGGAAAGATATTGTCACATGAAAGTGTCAAAAGGATTCTTGAGCCACTGTAGTTGGAACTCAACGCAAGAGATCCCGTTACATATGCGTTGGGGTCCCGTTGCTAGCTTTGGCCGATGATGGCCGAACAACCTTTCAACGCAAAGATATATGGTTGTGGAGAGATAAAGGTTGGCATAAGAGTTGACACCAAAGATGGGAGTGTAACGCAATCATTATAGGCAAGATCTTAGCCAATTCTTAAGATTATTTGTGATTTAATTAAATCAAAAATACATCAAAATGACTAAGAAGTTATCTTATTTAAGATCTAAATATTGTGTTAAGAAGCGTACACGTAACAGGATTCTATTGGGTAGTAGGATAAATATAAAATCTGATCAAAAAGTCACTATAAATTTTGAAATTTATCAAAAATATATGTGTAAGTTTATATTTATAGACACAAGTTATCTTTATATGTGTGTAATTTATATATATATATTTCATAAATACCGTATAAATACCTTTTAAAAGCCTTTTAAAAATCATTTAAAAACCTTATAAAAACTTTGTAAACCTTTTAAAAACATTAAAATGCCGTTTAGAACCTTTTAAAACCTTATAATTATTTGGATTTAGTCTTCCAGTAGTAATGATGATCTTGATGTACCTTATCAATCATATAAAAGTTTATAATTTTTCATATTTGAAAGAGATATTTTTAAAAATGGATAGAAAAAGGGTATTTTTAAAAAGATATACACTAAAAGGGGAATTCTTCAAAAATTCTCTAAGATAAATATAGAAGGAGAAAAAAACAATTTTCTTAAGGGAGATTCTCAAAATTACCATGTTTTTAAGTTTTTGGGCCACAAATAGCAGTAGACCCAACAATTTCCATGGTTACCATTTCTGAGTAAACACTTTGACCAAAATACCCTTCTTATTTTTCAACAAAAATCAAAAGAATCAAAACCTAATCTCCTCTCTCTCTCGTTCGCCGTCGCCAGAAACCTACCATCGCCGAATCAACTGTAGCCGTCGCCGGAGTCCTCCTCGCCGAATCAACGACGGTTCACACGACGGAAAATCCCTAATTCTCTCTCTCTCACCGCGACTCCTCACGTCGATTCAATCCTCTCACCGCCTCGCCGCGACTTCACCGCCTCGCCGCGACTTCACCGCCTCGTCGATTGATTCAATCACGTTTATTCCGGTGGTTGCTTTTGTTGTTTCTTCCTAAATCGTTTTGGTATGAACCCTAAATCGTTTGTGTTCAACCCTAAATCGTTTGTGTTCAACTCATTTGTGTTATTTAATTTGTGTTGAATCTAAGAGCTGGGGTTTAGTTCCTCAAGGTCTGTCTTTTCATCCCTTCCTTTTCGAAAATTCGAAACTCGTCACTTAATAGATCGAGTCCCTCAAACACCATTTTAGCAAACCCTTCGTGAGTGTCTCTATGAATGTGTGAATGATTTATTGGTTAGTTTTGATGAGAGTGTGAATTGCTTTGTGTTTTAAAGCTTGTTCGTTTTTGTGAATGTGAGCATGAGTGAAGAATCGAACAAGTCATGTTCATTTAGCTTTGAATTGTTTCAAGTAGAGTCATGGCCGGTCTTTAGGAAGCTGTGTTGATCAATTCATCTTTCTAATCTTGTCACTTTAGGAAGCTGTGTTGATCAATTCATCTTTCTAATCTTGTCACTTAATTGATTGATTCTCTCACACACCATTTGAGTGGTATTCAACAAACCCTTCATGAATGTCTAGCCATTAGCCATAGACTCAAGTGGAAACTTAGGCAGTTTGTTATGAATATCATAACAGCCATTAACAAAAACGAACTAATCCATCAAATTCTTACAACTTAGGCAGTTAGAACAAACCATCAGATTATATATTATTCTTCTATGTACTTGATTTACTCAAGAGAAAACTTAATACACATTGTGATATGTTGGTCAGATGATTGAATAAGGGGGATATTTTTGCTCTTGTGATTGTGTGTTTGTAAAAGATGTATCTAAACATCACAATGTTTGTTGGTTAATTTACATGCTGCATTTCTTATTCACTTAATGTGCGTGTTTATTGTGCAGGTGAACTTTGATCCATCAAGGACATCTGTTTCCTCAGCTTTCATTGTTGAGTCTTCTGGACAGTCTCAAATTACTCCATCATCCACTACTTCAGGTAATTTTTCTAGAGTTTAGTTTGTATCAAACATAGTTGGGAATTTAGGAAGACTTTCCAGCATTCAAGAAGACATGATGAACAAGATTAAAGAAGGGCAGTCAGAAGATAGAAGATTGAAGATGGCCTATGATATCTACAAGGAGATCGTACTAAAGAATTTGGAAGTTTTTGTAGTTTAGGAAAGATTGAATCTTTGTTGGAATGGTTTATGTTTCAGTTGGAATTGATTTTAAGAATTAATGTTAAAAATAGTTGAATTTTTGAAATTTGATCACAGGTTTTGTGTAGGTTTAATGGTAATTTGATGGTAATTTGATCACAGGTTTGTGTTTTAATTCATTTAGGAAAAGATTGAATGGAGTTTAGGAAGGTTTTAATTCATTAAGGATGGCCTTCATATATGGCACATGTGCAATAATTTAAGAGATATATTGAGTCAATCAACTAGGAATAATAGTTTTTTTATTTTTAAACAAAAAATTTAAAACACTTAATGAAGTTTAGGAAGGACTGAATGAAGTTTTAATTCAACTAAAATGGATTTTAGGAAGGTTTTAATTCATCTTAGGAAGGAGATAATGAAGTTTAGGAAGGACTGAATGAAGTTTTAATTTAACTAAGAATGGAGTTTATGAAGATTTTAATTCATTTAGGAAGGTATTCATGAACAAAATCAATTCTAATTTGATGATAAGTACAAATGATAAGTACAAATGATAAGTACAAATGAGAGGTACAAAATTGTGATACATGGAGGTAAACCATAACTAAAAGAGATGTAATATCTCATTTTTTATAAAACAAAAAAGCCGCCCCGCTGCAACAAGCGAGTTGGTTTCTCTGTCGTCGCCGGATAGCTCTTGGCGAGGTACTTTTGTCACTCGACTGAAAGGAGAGGAGACCTTAGGATAAGTTGCTAAAACAAAGGGGAGTAGAGGATCGACCCGTTCAGTAGAATTCCGAAGAAAGATTGTTGACAACTGGTGGAGACATTTCTTTGGTCCCCGTCAAATCAAAAGGAAAGGCGGGCAGGTTTAAGCTCGGCTGAGGGTTCGAGAATAGGGCCCTGCCCTTCAGATTCTCAGAATATAAAAAAAAAGTTCCAAAAATAGTAAGGATTCCATAGTGTTTAGAAAATTATCTTTAAATTATAGGAAGGTAACCACTCATATGAGCTTGAACTTAGCTGCTTAAGCTTGTCATAAGTGCCTTGATTAAACAACGCCATGTTGTCCACCTTTTCCATTTGAAACATGAAAAAGTTTGAATTTGATGTCATCCTTCGAAGGATGACATAATATTAGGGAAGACGTTCTTGAATGTTAGAAACATCTTCCTAAATTTTTCTAAAACCTGAGAACTTGTGATATATATGGTATCTCTGTACAAAGGGAAACCTTCTTTGCAATACTCACACCAAGAAGCATTTCTAGTAGTTCAGTTTAGCTTTGTTAGAATCAAATACGGTGGAGGTTCCAAGCTAATTTTACTGCTAAGACCAATCAACAACCGGATAACAAGAACATCTTCCCCATCCTCAATCAGTCTTCTTTCTTAGATTGAGCACAAATACACTTACTGAGATTCATGTGCACTTCATCACTAGATCCACCTAAAATTATGTAAACTACAACACCATATCAAGCTGCTAAATACAAAGCATTGATCATGAAATTTCAGAGCTTGAATAGACTTGAAACAACATTAAAAGCCATAAATTTGTTGGATGAGGTAGAACCTGAAATGCAAGTCCAACGAGAACAAGCTTCCAATATTTTTTTTGGCAAGAAGATATGCTTCAAATGTTTTTTCTGAGCAAATTTGCCACCATACACGTATTAAACTAAAAATTTTCAAAAAATTCCTAATGTTTTTGTTTCTGTTGCACATAGTCTGATTAAACAAAATAACTCAGCACAAAAAATTAGAGAAACAAAAATTCTGTTGCACATAGTCTGATTAAACAAAATTACTCAGCACAAAAAATTAGAGAAACAAAAACGTTAGGAGACTTGTGGTCAACATAAACCAGCATGCTAAAGATTAAGGATAAACACTAATCTTGCAAGCAACAAGATCAAATGAAAGTGCTTCTATTGCATACATAAGATAAAAGAAATCAAGAAGAAAAAGATTAAGGAGGTAATTTCATATCGAACCAAAGAATTTGATTCACCTGAATCGATACGAATCCAACGACCTTTGCAATAATCAAGATTCTCCTTATCTGCATATATAAATCCATCTCGATCAGTTATAGCTGCACCATTAAGCCAACGTGAATACCTCAAAACCTATCAACAAATTACAATGTACTCTCACCAAACGAGATTGTGGTGTGTCAACCAAAGAACAAAATATCAGAGACCTTATACTTCTTAAAACCACTAAGCTTGTTCAATTGCTCAACGATACTTGCAGATAAATCACGAAATTCCCAGTCTAGTGATTGTTTCTCCTCAGCAATTGCCCGTGTCGAAGCAAAAATTTTTCTCTCAAAATGCTTAAGGCAAAATAGAAGTAGACATAATTGAGGCAGAATGAAACGAAGAATAGATCAAGGCAAAATCTGATAAACTCTAGGATTGGAAAACACTAATCTAATTAGAATCACCTTGTAACAAAGATCCGAGGAAGAGATAATTGAGAAGCGAGAGAAACAAAGAAGAGATGAATGAGATATCTGAAATTGAAGATGTTGGAGGAAGATGGAGACGATGAATGGAGTCGCCAAATCTCGCCGGAGGTGACGTCGGAGAACAACGGCAGAGAAGATGTAAATGGGGGATCGATATTTGGTGTTTATACCACAAGGGTAAAATAGTATTTTTATTCAGATACTAATGGTATTAGCAGAGAATTAAAGAGGGTGTGGTATTTGTGGAACAAGAAGTTAAATGCTGCTAGTTTAGGGAATTTCTCATTTCTTAATTTTTCTCTTCTTTCTTTCTTTCCTTAATTTTATCTTATGTATGTTTTAAATTTTAAATTTTTCAATAATTATAAAGTTTTCTCAAATTATAAATTTTAATTTAATTTAGTTTTTATATAATTTTTCTTTTTCGAAGATCCCCAACCTAAGATACTACCAATAAAGATGTCTCAAAACAAAAAACACAAATACAACTCTTAACCATTACTTTTTCAAATTTATTATTAAACTAATTCTAAGATTAAAATGTAAGATACCATTGATAATCTTGCTCTAAGAGGATTCGTGTGACAAGAGAGGAACTAACAAAAAAGTCGAAAGGTATTGAGATACAAACAAAAAAATAAAATTGATAACAAAGTACATATATACAAATTTCAAAGTATAAGTTTTCATAATTTGTTCCTCTTCTTTAATGTTTGTATACAATATAAGGCTATATACAGGATACTCTTTTTTTAGTGTTGCACAAAATGTCATAATTGCTTTCAAAACTATTAAATGGCATGGTCAGATTCTTCCATGCCAAAAAGGTGAGCATACGACATTTAATTGATTTTTGGGTACCACGACTTTTAATTGGAAAGTGATTTCACTGATTTGTATCAAATAAACATTTAATAATAATTTTGTTTTTTGTGAAACTACAAAATATCTAATATATAGATGCACTATAATATGTATATTGATATTATGGTGTACATAAATGTTGGACTATACCAATGTATAGTTTTTTTTGGTAGGAAATAGGAGACAAATTGCCTCTTAAGTTTTATTCAAAGTAAAAAGAAAACTACGTTACATACGGATCCATTGTGAACACGCGATCCTATTAATATCCTCCAACAAAACCGGACAAACGATCTCCGGACAAATACCAATGTATAGTGGTGGTCGCCTTTTGATCTCCGGACAAATACCAATGTATAGTGGTGGTCGCCTTTTGTTTTGTCTTATATATCGATGTGTCTCCATATATCTTAATACTATGTCAGGGCACCTCCAACGGAGGTTTTTAAAAAAAAAATATTAATGAATAAAAAAATAAAAAAATATTGAATAATAAGAGAAAAGGTTAAAGAAGGGTTAATAACAAAAGTTTTTAGACCAACTCTAATGGTAAATCTTTTAACAAGTATGTTGGTAATATTCTAATTACAAAAAGTACAAAAGTTGAAACTAAAAACTTATGTAAAATTTATTTTTCCAATGGTAAAGTTTTTAATAAGTTACTAAACACTACATTTTAAATAATCAGAAAATTTGTTTCTTTTTTTCTTTTTTTCCTCCACTCAATCATAAGTGGACACATGTATTTAAGACACTATTTCAAAAATTCTTAGCAAAAACTATTTCTTAGCTTTTTTTTTTTTTTGTCATCATTACAAATTATATATCTCTTTTTGAGAGGGACCGGACTCGAACCCGAATCTGGTGAGAAGGCAACAGAGGTGAGAACTATTTCTTAGCTTATTACATGTTTTCTCTTTTTAATTCTTAGAAATTTGCTAAATAACTTGCATTGGAGTTGCTCTTACATACGGTCTCTTAGCATGTTATACTACTTGGCACCACATTATTAGTTAACTTTAATTTTATCCTTGTAAAATTTTAAATAATTAATTTATTTATTGTAAAATGATTAAATATTATATCTAAGAGATTAAGAGAGAATTCATGCGTTGAAAGTGGTCTCAAAGTTAGTGATAAACTATATATTACCAAGTTTGTAAACAAAAATCAATGACTTTAAGGTATCAAAGTGTGTGTATCTAGTATTACATTGTTATAAGTGTGACTTTCAATTTGAATACAAATGGTTAACTAGACCAAAATAAAACACTTGTATGAATTCAGTGAACATGTAACTATATTTAGCTTCCCTTGGTTTAGTTTACAAACTCAAGTTCTACTTTAATTCGTGTCGTTGTATATATTTATGAATTTCATAATTGTTATTTTGATAATAACAGAAAATATAATTAATCAATCACGATTCACTTCCTATATAGTAGGCTTGCGGACAGAACCTATCGACAGAAGTTTCAACACATAACAAATTACAAATGGCAGAACCAACACATCATCATGTGGTTCTCTTCCCATACATGTCAAAAGGCCACACCATCCCTCTCCTCCAGTTCGGTCGTCTCCTCCTTCGTCACCACCGCAGAGAACCAACTATCTCCTCCATCACCGTCACCGTCTTCACCACTCCCAAGAACCAACCTTTCGTCTCAGAGTTCCTCTCGGACACACCGGAGATCAAAGTCATCTCTCTCCCTTTCCCTGAAAACATCTCCGGGATCCCTCCCGGCGTCGAGAGCACGGAAAAGCTCCCTTTCATGTCACTCTACGCCCCATTCACACGCGCCACGAAGCTTCTCCAACCATTCTTCGAGGAAACACTCAAGAAGCTCCCACAAGTTTCTTTCATGGTCTCGGATGGTTTCCTCTGGTGGACATCGGAATCTGCTGCTAAGTTCAAGATTCCTAGGTTGGTCTTTTTCGGCATGAACTCTTACGCCTCTGCCGTCTCCATCTCTGTTTACAAACACAAACACAAACTCATTACCGAACCGGCAACTGAATTTAATACAGAACCGTTTACTGTACCGGACTTTCCATGGATCCAGGTCAAAAAGTCTGATTTTGACCATGGTGCTCTCGATCAGGACAAGCAGGATCAAATGCACGAACTATTCAATGACCAAATCATGGCAGCCACTACAAGCCACGGGTTCTTAGTGAATAGCTTCTACGAGCTCGAGTCAGCATTTGTTGATTACAACAACTCTCATGGAAAAAATGTGTGGTGTGTTGGGCCATTGTGTTTAACAGATCCTCCTAAACCGAAGAGTCCTAAACCGGCTTGGATCCATTGGTTGGATCGGAAGCGAGAGGAAGGGCGTCCGGTTTTGTACGTGGCCTTTGGAACGCAGGCAGAGTTATCGGACAAACAGATTATGGAACTAGCTTTAGCCTTGGAAGATTCAAAGGTACGTACCATACATCAATTATATAATTAAGACACATTAGTTATATATAGTTTTAACTCTTAATTAACTCTTGAGCAGGCAAATGATTTTTGTCAACTTAATTACATGACTTCAAATTAGCTAGTTTAGAGTGTGACTATACAAGTTGGCTATCCATCTTATATTGATGGCATTTTCCCTATCTAAAATTTGTCTGTTCATCTTATGATATAGCCATATGCGTCTTTGGTCGACATCTTATATAATATAACAAGGTTTTTTCTAACTTTTCACCACGTTACGACATTTGGCGCTTTCTGTTGATGACATGTGTCATACTTTATTTTTAATTAATTTTTTCATTTTTATTTTTAACTAAAACATTTATGTCAATCTTAATTCCAAATAACCATATAATTAGGTAAAAATTAAAATAAAATTATTATGAAAAAATAATTATGAGTAAAATTATTAATTGGGATCAAAATTCATTTCTCTAAAGCAAAAGATATAACTAAAGTTTTAAAACAAAATCACATATTGCATATGATATATCACATATATATGTATATATGATTTACTATCACATAATTAAAAATTCTATTTTAAATAATTTTCTTACATTTTATTTAAATTTTCATCCATCATATTTAGTTTATTATAAAATACTCTGTTCTTTTTTCACTTTAATGATGGAAGAAACTTAAATAAAATATATGCAAATTGAGTAAAATAGATGTTTTAATTATTTGATAGTAAATCCACAATTGTGGGAGTTAATTCTTATTAATTTTGTGTTGAATAAAATTGAGTAGAGAAATATAGTTAATGCAAATTCTTATAACTTTAGTTCTTATATTAAAGTGTTAGTTAAATATAGAGATCTAATTAATTGTGTTTTAATTGAATATATATTTTTCAGTTTTAAAATTAAAGTGAGAGATTGATATATATGACCATGGGGGAATTTCAAAAATATCCATTTTCATATACCTCTTTTTAAAAATACCCCATTTTCAAACTTTATCAAAAAACCCACTAAAAATGTTGAAATTTATCCAAATATGTTTGTAAGCTTATAAATATATATACAAATTACTTTTATATGTGTATAAAACATTATATAACTTTCATAAATAGCGTAAAAATAAATTATAAAAACCTTATAAAAACCGTATAAACCCTTTTAAAAACCTTTTAAAAACCTTATAAAACTTATAAAAACGATTTAAAACTATTTAAAACATTTTAAAATATTTGTATCGAATCTCCCAGTAGTAGTTATTATATAGAAGTACCTTATAAACTATATAAACTTTCTAATTTTTTATATTTAAAAAGGGGTATTTTTGAAAATGGATAGAAAATGGGGTATTTTTAGAAAGGAGTACACCAAAAGGGGTATTTATTCAATTGTGTTTTATATGTGGTTTGTTTCACCTTCTTCTTACTGGTCTATTTTTCTATAAAATGTTTTTTAAAAAATTATGTTTTCAACTAAACCAAAAATAAAACATATTTAGTTATATATATTAAACTGACACTTTAATATAAACCTAAAGAAAAATTATTTTAATCAAGCCATAAATAAAAAAATTTGATCATCTATATTTATATTCAATTAAAACACAATTAATTAAATACATTTAACTCACTTTTTAATAATTGAAATAATATAAATTTGCATTCACTATATTTTTCTACTCAATTTTAGTCAACACTCAATAAATTAGAATTAACTCCTACAATTTTTTCTTCTAAATTGTAACTCTCATCACTTCTAATTTTATAAATACTCATTTTCTCATTCTCTCATTCCCTGCTCCTCTTCCACTTTATCTCAAATCTTCTATAATTGAGTTTGTTTAGTTTTTCTGTTTTTTGTTGTTGGCTGTTTGTTGTTGTATGAGTTGAAAAACAAATTTAATTTGCATTGTAAAAGTTTAATCTAAATTTTAATTTTAGACACTATATGATATATATTTACATTGTTTTATATGACATTATTTCATCTCTATTGTCTATTTTAGATTACAATCTTATAATTAAGTTCTCTCTCTCTCTCTCTCTCTCTCTCTCTCATTCTCTTTCACTACATTCATGTATCTTAAATATTTTTCTATTTTTGTGTTGTTATATGGATTGAAAATCAATAAAAGTATCATTCTAAGAATTTGATCTTAATTTATTTTAGAAAGTATGATATATATCAAACATAGTTTCAATTTTTATTTCTAATGACTTAATTTTTTTTTTTTGTCATCATTACAAATTATATATTTCTCTTTGAGAGGGACCGTACTCGAACCCGGATCTGGTGAGAAGGCAACAGAGGTGAGAAACACTAACCCACTTGTCCTTCTCTTTTCTAATGCCTTATTATACATACTTTTTCAATTTTTATTTCTAATGCCTTATTATACATACGTTTTCATACTTATGAGTATGAATGGAGAAAGTATGATATAACACATATGTAAAATAAAAGTTTTGATTGTTATATAAATAAAAGTTTCAATTTAAACCTTTAACAAATAACTTCTTCTATTTTTTTGAAAATCTCAAATAATATTTTGTAATTCAGTTCTTATAATATTTAATTTATTTAAAATTTGAGGTCTAACTGTTTAAAAAGAAACAAAAAGTACTTGATTTTAAAAAATTGGTCTTTAAATTGTTTTAAATCATATAGTTCATAAAAGTTAAATTTAGTTTAATTCATTCATCAGTTGAATAAGGTTTTTTCTAACTTTTCACCACGTTACCACATTTGGGGCTCTTTGTTGATGACACGTATATTTTATTTTTAATTAATTATTTTCATTTTTATTTCTAACTAAACATTTATGTCAATCTTATTTCCAAATAATCATATAATTAGGTAACAATTAAAATAAAATTATTATGAAAACATTATTATGAGTAAAATTATTAATTGGGATCCAAAATTCATTTGCGTAAAGAAAAAGATATAACTAAAGTTTTGTTTTCCTATAAATATAACTTGACATCTACTTCTGAATCCAATTTTTAATACCTAAAGTTCTTTTGCCAAAAAAAAGAGATTATTTTATAATAAAATTTCATATTGAATATGATATAAAATCACATATATATATATATATATATATATATATATGATTTACTATCACATAATTAAAACATCTATTTTACGTAACTTTTTACATTTTATTTAAATCCTATTACATTTTTATTACATTTTATGAATTAATGAACTTCACTAAAATCCTATTGAATTATAATATTTAATAAGGTATGAGTTATACCCTAATATCATATCCAATCTACACTCTACACTAATATCATATTTAATCATTTGTTCTAAATAATAGTCTTTCTTTTCATAACAATATAAATATCTAACCCAAGTTAGATTTTCCTAGAGAGACCGAACATAAATTCGATTACTTAAGAGCATTTCATGGTTGTTGTCATGTACATATAATAGACAGATATATTTGTTCATCTTCTTTGTTAATGTTGATGTAAACATGTGATGCCTTTTTAACATAAATTTATTTCTTTAGCTTTAATAGTTATGTCAATCTTTATGTTTGTTCTTAAATGGTTTCAATATTAATTTTATTCTTGAACAAATTCTACATAAAATAATTCTTAATATATAAAAAAGATCTCATCTACGTATATGTGAGCTTCTTTTCTAATCAATTAGAATGAAAATATCAAAGTTCTTCTTTTTCAAATAATCTTCATCTGTTGATTTGGCTTTTGCTTTATCTTTTTAGTGTTTACATAATTATAGATCAAAAACTCTTATATCTCAGGTGAAATATTTTCTAAATTGAAAAAGTTTTTCTAAGTAAGGTCTAAAAATATCATATATATTAGGTGAAATATGAATTTTGTTTACTTTTAATATTAACAATGTACACACAAAAAATTAACATTAATTTACAATTGCCTACTATATTATGTATGTGCTAATTTGTATAACTTTGTTTTGATCTCATTTGGTTTCATATTTTTCAAATATATATTTTATTTACTTTTATTGTTTATAATGTACACAAATATGTTTTATATTAAAAGTTACTTATAAACTACATATCTTAATGTAGTTTTCAATTTCTAATTCAAATTAATATTTCATATATAACCCACGCATCGCGTGGGCAACTTTCTAGTAATTCAATACGAGACCATACAATTTATGCATTAATTGTAAGATATTGTTTAATAAACGCATGTCATAAATTATATCAATGACTTGATTATTTAGGTGAAGTTTCTGTGGGTCACGAGAAAAGATGTGGAAAAGATTCTTGGAGAAGGATTCAAAGATAGAATAAGAGAGTGTGGGATGATAGTGAGAGATTGGGTTGACCAATGGGAGATATTGTCACATGAGAGTGTCAAAGGATTCTTGAGCCATTGTGGTTGGAACTCAGTGCAAGAGAGCATATGCGTTGGTGTCCCGTTGCTGGCTTGGCCGATGATGGCCGAGCAACCACTCAATGCGAAGATGGTTGTGGAGGAGATAAAGGTAGGAGCAAGAGTTGAGAATGTTCAAGGATTCGTGACAAGAGAGGAACTTAGTAGAAAGGTATTGAGATACAAACAAAAAATAACATTGAGTTTATTATAGTTATGTTTATAGTTAGGCTCTTTTTTTTTCAGTTTTTTTGAGTGTTTATAATTAATTTTTTAATTACAGATTAAAGAACTAATGGAAGAAGAAACGGGGAAAATCGCAAGAAAGAATGTGAAAGAATATTCAAAAATGGCAAAAGCAGCTTTGGTTGAAGGGACTGGTTCATCTTGGAAGAACTTAGATTTGATTTTCAAAGAGTTAAACCATTTCCAATAAACTAGAAACTTTAATTTCTATTAAAATAAAGAAAAATAAGTAAGAGAGATGAAATAAGGCTGGGATCTAAACAAAATTCCATAAAAAAATTTGTCATTTTTCTTGCATTTCTTATTTTAAAATTAACTTTTAATTTCATAAATAAATTGAATTAAATATTAGTAATCCAACGATTCGCTAACCAGTATATAGACATTATGTGTACAAGTTAGTCTTTGTTTAGTTGAAAAAAATATTCTAATAATAATTAAAAAAAATTATAATAATTTAGACCTTTGCGTAAAAAATATATTACAATAATTTATTTATATGTTTAATTTTGTTGTCAAACAGTCTCTAATTTTTTTTTAATATATCAAATTTCAAAGTATAAGTTTCTGGAACTAGTTCCTGGCTTCTTTGTTATTGGTTTCTAGAAGAAATTTAAAGAACCTATATGGTATTGTCCAAAAAAAAAAAAAAGAACCTATGGTATTTGCTTCCGTGAGAAACTGATATATAACACATGTCAAAAAATCTCGCGATTCGCTTCTTTTATTTTGTTTCGATCTAATTTAATTGTATGTAATAACGTACGCATGCATGGAAAATATATAAGATTTTGTTCTTATTTTTTTAGATAATATTTTTAATGATTCAGCTCTCTGATCTTTAAACCATCCCTGTTGAATGTTGATGAATAATTAGGTGCCTTTAGACACACATCCTCTTTTGATAGTGCCTATAAGAAGATACAAACCATATTTATTGGTTATACTTTAATAAAAATAAATTCATATATAATTGGTAGCAAAACTAATAATGGCGAGCTTGGATTCTTGCATGCAAAAAAGGTGGGCAAATGAGACTTGTGACACGGACACATTATTTTATGCACTAAATCTAGTGATATTTAAAAGAGGTACTCAACCATATTATTTCCTATATATAGAGGCTTACACATATAGTATACGACACAAACAAACAAGCTAGTTATATAGTTTTTTCCAAAAGAAAGAACATGGCAGAATCAACACATCATCATGTGGTTCTCTTCCCATACATGTCAAAAGGCCACACCATCCCTCTCCTCCAGTTCGGTCGTCTCCTCCTCAGCCACAATGAACCAACCACCTCCTTCACCGTCACCGTCTTCACCACTCCCAAGAACCAACCTTTTGTCTCAGAGTTCCTCTCGGACACACCGGAGATCAAAGTCATCTCTCTCCCTTTCCCTGAAAACATCTCCGGGATCCCTCCCAGGGTCGAGAGCACGGACAAGCTCCCTTCCATGTCACTCTTCGTCCCATTCACGCGGGCCACGAAGCTTCTCCAACCATTCTTCGAAGAAACACTCAAGAATGATCTTCCACAAGTTTCTTTCATGGTCTCCGATGGATTCCTCTGGTGGACATCGGAATCTGCTGCTAAGTTCAAGATTCCTAGGTTGGTCTTTTACGGCTTTAACTCTTACGCCTCCGCTGTCATGAACTCTTCTTTACAAAACAAAATCTTTACCGAACCGGAAACTAAATCTGATACCGAACCTGTCACTGTACCGGACTTTCCATGGATCCAGGTTAAAAAGTGTGATTTCTATCATCTTCCTACCGATCCAGGTCCAGCCCTTGAACTATTAATAGACCAAGTGATTGCAACCACCACAAGTTATGGGTCTCTAGTTAATAGCTTCTATGAGCTCGAGTCAGGATTTGTTGATTACAACAACAACCGCTCTGATAGACCAAAGTCGTGGTGTGTTGGGCCATTGTGTTTCAAAGATCCTCCTACATCGGGGAGGGCTAAACCGGCTTGGATTCAGTGGTTGGATCGGAAACAAGAAGAAGGACGTCCGGTTTTGTACGTGGCCTTTGGAACGCAGGCAGAGTTATCGGCCAAGCAGCTTATGGAACTAGCTTTAGGCTTGGAAGATTCAAAGGTACATTAATATATCATTGAACCGTTCATCTATATATAGAAACTTTTGGTTTTCACACATTATTTAGCTGTTATACTTTAGTTAGACATAATTAAGGTCGGCCATGATAATTTAGTCAATGTTAACTAGGATTTACCCCGTGGTACACCACAGTTCCATAATTTAATATATTTGTTTGGTTGGTCATTTTCGTAGTTGGTTTATATAGTCTAGTTTTATACGTGTTTATTTCATTTAATTTTACATAAATTTATGAATTTGTATTATAAGTAGATTCATATATATATGTGGTCAACCCGCGGTACACCGCAGAATAATTTTGTTGTAAAAAAAATTATATTTTAACTTAACCCGTAAAAATATTATATTATAGAAAACCCGTAAGAAAAATATAATTCTATTTATGTAAACTCAAATCCGTCCAATCATATTTATGTACATTATTATTATATTTCAAAACATTTAGAGTTAAAATATTAATAATACTTTAAATTAAATGTTATAATATTAGGGCATTAGTAAGAGTTTCTATAATATTTTAAACCTTTCTAAGAAATTAAATTTATAATATTTTGAAACTTTTTAAATTTTATTTTTCTTAAATATATAACCGGATTAAACATAATATTTTTTTAATTTGAATGCCTAAGAAACCAAATTTCTATTTTATAATGCTTTTGAACTCTTATATAAACATTTTCCCTTTATCAATTGAGTTATATACGTCCGTTTTCAAAAATTTAAATTGCAAAATGTGTAGAAAAAAATTTGTATTTTTGTTAGAAATATTTTTTATGCAATACTATAAAGGTGGAAAATAAATAAGATTATATAAATATATTGGAGAGAGATTCAAGTTATTAGAGAGATATTTGAGGAAATTTTTTTTGTTGTAATAAATATTTGTTTCCAATTTTGAGATTTGCTTGTGATTTAATTACAAAATTTACTTTAAGTTTTGTTATTTATTTAAATGGCAAGGGTTTGATTATGCAAATATTAAAAAATAAAAGGTTATAACCCAAAATAGATTTTAGTACAAAATGTACTTAAAAAATGTTAAGATAGATAGTAATAACGGAGAAAAAAGAAGAGAATATGAAAACAAAAACTTTGTAATAGCTTATATTTTTATTAGTCGAAATTTTAGTTTTCTTTGTCATAAAAAAAAAAAGAAAAACCTACTATATAATAATTTGGGGAGCCATTTCAATTACTTCACCCTACACTACAGTGTCCACTGACCACTGTCATAATATATGGCCGGCCTCCAGTAGCATTGACTCTTTTTGTTTTGTCCATTTTCGAGTTAAATCCATGGCCTAGTCTAGAAAGCAAAACTATACACGTTAGACATCAATTATTGTAAGGTATACGACATGCATGTTTTCACTTCATGTCGTATTTTGATTTATTTCAGGTCAATTTTTTGTGGGTCACGAGAAAAGCTGTGGAAGAGATACTTGGAGAAGGATTCAAGGATAGAATAAAAGAGAGTGGGATGATAGTGAGAGATTGGGTGGACCAATGGGAGATATTGTCACATGAAAGTGTCAAAGGATTCTTGAGCCATTGTGGTTGGAACTCAGCGCAAGAGAGCATATGCGTTGGGGTCCCGTTGCTGGCTTGGCCAATGATGGCCGAGCAACCTTTCAACGCAAGGATGGTTGTGGAGGAGATAAAGGTCGGAGTAGGACTTGAAACCGAAGATGGTAATGTTCAAGGATTTGTGACAAGACATGAACTAAGTGGAAAGGTATAGAGCCACAAATTATAAAGTTTTATTGTTATTTTCATTAATGAGTCTAAACATTGTTACATTGAATTAATGATAACTAACCATGCTTTACATTTTTTAATTTTTAATTTTATATGTTAAATCTTAGTTTTAATTTTTATTAATTTTACAGGTTAAAGAACTGATCGAAGGAGAAACGGGGAAAATGGCAAGAAAGAATGTGAAAGAATACTCAAAAATGGCAAAGGCAGCTTTGGTTCAAGGAACTGGTTCGTCTTGGAAGAATTTGGATTTGCTCATAAGGACATTATGCAAGAGTAGAGAGCTAGCCAAAGAATGCTAATAAGTAATAAGTCCAATACATGTTATTATTCGATCTTTAATAATTGGTTTAGTTGAAAAACTAAACCTGTGGGATAAAGAGTGATCTTTAAGAGATACACGACATACAATGTCCGTAACATTTCTGAATTTCAGCACGGAGAAGATATCGATCAAACATATACCGTTGGTACCGCCGGTGTGGGTTCAAATATAGGCACAACGATTACTCGTCGAACAAGAGTTCAGGATAAACAAGCACATGAACAATTAAAACATGATTTAATAGAACATATTTGGACTAATTTTGGACATCTTCAAGATTATGAAAATTAAGTTTTAAAGTTCTATGAATTCAATGTTGTTAATTTTAATCGTTGTATGCTTGATGTTTTATATTAATAATGTCAAAATTGTATGTTTTTCGTTTTTTCAACTTTATAAACTTTGTAATAATAAAATGCTATGAATGGGATGATATATGTTTTATTTCCATGTTTTTTATATAATTAAAAAAATTATTCTTTTAAATTAAAAATATGATTAATTTAATAGAAGGACAAATAATAAAAGACACCAATGCTCCTACACTCAAAATTTTTAAAAGTCCTACGATCTAAATATTCTAAAAATAATGGAGAGACCAAGATTGGTCCTTCACCAATGTGCCTTCACCAATGCTTATGCTCTAAGGGCATCCACATTGGTTAGGACAAATTTTTGTCCCAATTTTTTTTTTTTTTTTTTTGTTTTTTTTTTTGCAATTAAAAAAAAACATAAAGTTAACCAATTGTGGGCCGCCACGTATCAGTGCGGCCCGCAAATAAGAGGAAGGACCGTGGCAATTCTGCGTACGTCCCGCCTCAAATTTTTTTTTTTTTTTTTTTCTTTTCTTTTGGGTCTGGGACTGGGACTGGGCACGCCAATGTTTATGGTATAAGTAAGTAACTTTTTTATTCGATGTGTCTACCTCGTTTATCTTTGGTCGTAAAGTGAAGATTCAACAAGATAAATCATGTAAAAGAAGAAAGGTCCACATTACACCTACGCATGTGCAATGATGAACATGTCATGTACAAAAATAGTTAGATCTAAAAAGAATTACAAGTTTCTTTACTTTTTACTGACTCAATTATTATAAAATGTTACAGTTTCATTGAAGATTGTTATCTTAGTTAGCAATTGATTCTTGAAAGTTTGCATAATGTCACAACTCATTTTCTTGGATTGGTTCGTAACTTGAAATAAGCCCATGACAAGATGCTAACTATCAATACCACTATCACATCTCATGTTGAGTAGTAAATTATACCAATGTGAATGGTATATGTATATGATACTGCCAAAAAGAATAGTCAATGTTGTTCAAACCCAAAATTATGTCAACAAGAAACTCTCATTTCTCTAGCAAACATATGGTACAATAATTCATATATCTACTAGTACATATTATCAGTATATTAGATATCAGAAATATTACAAGACATGTGAATAAGACAAAGTAATATATCTTTTGATTTGTTGGAATACAAAGTAATATATATTATGACCAAAAAGAATAAAACAAGAAAATAATACCCTTTGGTGAATAATTCACCATAATATGACTCAGATCAGGTTTAGACTATTAAAGAACATCTTATACTCAAACATAAACTAAACACTGTATTAATCTTATGGGAGTATTAGATTTACTTTGTAGTTTGTATTAACAAACATCACAGAAGCTCATCAAGAAACGACTTCCCTTTATATTTCTCAACCTTAAATCCCATTTCCTCCATCCTCAACCGCTCTGTCTCGAGCTCAGCCAGCTCGGCTTTCATCTCCTCGACCCTCGACCTCGCTTCCGATACTTCCTTTTCAATCCGAGCCAAATCAGCCTCCTGAATCTCCATTTCCTGTTTCTTAGACCTCACCAATCCTACTTGCCTCTCTTTCTCTGAGTCTGTGTTCTCTTGATACTGAGAAAACTCCTCAAGAACCGAACGCATCCATCCAACGTCGATGTTCACAGACTCTAAGTCCTTTAGAACGGCGAGCATCTCTTTTACTTTTAGTTCGGTCAACTGTCCAACCGGGGTTGACCTAAGTTCTTGCATCAATGAGCATAGGCACTCTAGGTATCGGGATCGCATAGATGCTGATTCTAGCCTGCAGTTTGCGGCTATGTCTCCATGTTTGTCGAGGATTGATCGTAGGATTGTGGAAACACATGAGTTCACACGGTATTTTCCAACTGAAACACACGAGTCCGACATTACTGATACAAGGTCTAACTCTACTCCGTCCTCATCATCATCATCGTCGTCATTGGCATATGATCTTGGAGGGCTTACAACATTGAAGACACTAATCTCACTGACTGTGTCATTCTTGCTACTGAGTTTATGTTCTCGAGGTTTTGGTGATACAGTTTTGCTATTATCAACCTGAAGAATATCAAAACAAAACAGAACATGGTAAGATGACACTGTAAAGCTTGTAAGATTCCACCTAAGGTTGGTCCAAAAAGTTACAAAGATTCCGGCTTTCCAAAACTCTACAGGACTCTGACAAATATAAGTGAAAAGTAAGACATACCATGCTGTTTGGGGATAGAGGAACCGTTCGTGATGGCTTCTGCGGCTTACGGTTGAAAGAATCATGCTGACCATTGACGTTGAGGTCAATAGAGATTTCATCAGACGATAGAGAGTGTAACGATTTGTTCGCTTCTGGAACTGATGTCTTCTTCACAGCTATTGGTGAAGGTCTAGACTGACGAACCTTTGGGGAATTGGCAGCACCGTTCTGATATGGCCTTGAATTCAGATGTGACGGTGGCTGTGACTCTGTCTTTTTCTTACCGAAACTCCCCGGGAGGCTAAGAATCGTTGAACCTGTAATAAACAATACAAGAATAAGAAAAGAAAGCATACAACTTTGGCAAACCATTGAAAGCTAACAACGCCTTGATCAAGTTATAACTGTAATAACAGACAACCCCCATGATTATTCTTAAAAGCAATACATAAAGAAGGGCAAAGACTCAACAAGCTGCATCGACAGATCGATAAGCAAAACGTATGATGTACACTTCAAGTAGTAGCACATTCAGTATCAGGCAATTCCATCACAAAGGATGCATACTCATAGATTAAATGGATCAAAACATAGTGTGAGGACAAAGAAAGTACCTTGCTTTTTTGAATGCTTCTTTCCACGGCCTTGAGCAATCTTCTCTAAACAATCAGAAGCACATTCATGGAAAGGGTTTGCAGAATATCGACAATCCGGGTGAGCTTTCCGATTGGCGTCCATGGCTTTATCAATATATAGACTCAATCAGAAGCAAGAACTGAAACAAACAACCACAAGCAAGAAAGCATATGAGAGCCAAGAACTAACAAATGTGACCTTTCAGGCTATGTAAATAAAGGTCAAGACTTTAGACCTCAAAATATAAAAATCAAACACTTGCAAATAATTCAACAACTCCAAACACCATCATAATATGATTCCAATCTGGTTTCCACCAAAAAAGGAGACAACTTTACCAAAACATATACATAAATGAAACCATGGCACCAAACAACCCCCCACAAACAATAACTCGAATCAAACAAATACCAAAAAAGATAAACTTTTTTAATTAGGAGACATCATTTTCCAATTTAATGAGAGACCCACAACAATCTCTGCAACCATAAGAGTAAAGCACCGATTTTTACGATCAAAAGCTCCAAACTTTATTCACCCTTTAGGCTTTATGCATACACACACAGAGAAGTATACAGAGAGAAGTATACAGAGAGAGGTATAGAGAGAGGTACCAGGAGAATGGGGAAGAGAATGGGGAAGAGAAAGGTTATTGAGCAGAGAAGATGGAACAGAAGAAACAGAGAGATTTGTAGTATATAAAGAGAGAATAGTTGAGGAGGAAGATGGTCTTTGATCTGTCTTTGCCTTAGGTATTTGATTTGACCGGAACCATTAGAATATAAAGAGAGAATAGCTGAAGATTCGACGAGATTGACCATTATTTTAAATTGAAACGAAGGTAATAATAAATGGTAGGAGAATAGAGATAGATGTTGCAATCAATCAAAGAGCTTCCAGAAGTTGACAACTAGAACGAGGAGAGGAGCCGAGACGAGTAAAAGGAAACTTCTCTTTCTCTTTCTCTTTGTATTCATTCACACCTTAGCTTATTAACCGATTTTTTTTTTTTTAAATACACTACTCACGTGTGGCACGTGTGGGACTAGTAGCTTCTAAAGTTTGTTTACTCTTTGCTTTTCAAGTTTAATCTTTTTTCATTTAGTAAGATTGTTAAGTTTTATTTGTAGTTTGGTAGTATACTAAGTGTGAGGAATAATATATAGTTGGTAAAAATTAAAAATACGCAATTCAAATATTTGACTGAATTGTTACTTTACTACTAAAAATTTGTTTTACACCCTAATCACTTTCTTTTTTTTTGGACCGAAACCTATACATCTCCTCAGATCATGTTTTATAGTTCCGTCTCAAACACTATTCGAACCGATGACTTCTTAACTTTTGACATAATTCTTTACCAATTGAGCTATTAAAACTTGGTTAACACCCAAATCACTTTTTATAGGTCAAAAATGTTTTCGCAGTCATAATTTTCAAAATGTATTTAAACACATTAAATCTTTGTATAAATTTTTTTTTTTTTTTGGGACCAAATCTTTGTATAAAAAATTGTTAGCCGTTAATCGGACATTTTAGATGAACCTAGCGACTCGAAAGAAAAATCGAAGATTACTCAAGGTTACGAAAATTAATATGTAATATAATGTTTTTTTGTAATTTTTTACTCGGAGATTAATCCAGATGCAATGTAAACTGATAAATATATAAAACAAGTTTAATCAAAAACACAGATAAATTAATATGATGTTGTTTGTGATGTTGTTCGTAATTTTTATATTACTTTCAGTTAACATTTAATTTATCCCAAAAATAATAACATGCTGATTTGTATAAATTACATGAAAGGGAAGAAAAAAAGAAAAATAAGTTCGGCAAGAATCATAAATACTGGGTCTGACTATTTATAGTAAATGATTGATCCACATGGTTGATGATAGACATGATACACAATCCATTATTTCAAGCTTTACTGCAAATGAGATCTACTTGATCATGGAACTTGAGAAGTGTTGGCGCTTCAATCCCGTCTCCTTACCAAAAGGTCCTGGACTTCTTCTTTTTGTTGACAGTAAAGTTTTAAACTTTTCTAATCTTGAACTAATTTTATGTATAGACGATTAATATCTTATTATATAAAGTAAAAAACTAACGTTTAATTGATTAATAAACAGTTCACCTATATTGATTCAGCTAACTAAGATAATGTCAAGACTATAAAATTGATTTGTTTTTCCTTTTATTAGTAGTTTTAAGGACTATAAGGCGACCAATAATGATGCCTTTAGACGTTAGCAAGTCAAATTACTCTTTACTATTCCATTTTGATTCGTAACTCAATACTAAAACTTAACAAGTCATCTCTCTTATGTATGTATAGAGTTTCAATTTCAAGAGAAGAACATATTTCTCTATATAAGTTTGGATTTCGTTACTGATATGTATTTCAAATCTCATGACATATACGATTCTAACTCAAATCTCATAGAAAAGAATTGTATACTTTCTGAATCGAATTTAAATTCTATAAAAATATGACTTATGATATAAAAATAAAATTAAAGTAGAGGAACATGCCTGTAGAGACGTAATTCAGATACATAAAACTTACGTCGATCGGACTATGGGAGTTGTTTTGTTACGTAATCGGAATTTTAGCTTCAAGAAAGGTGGACAGTTGGAACTTTGGGATATTAATTAGGAGACAAAACTAGCTCACCTTTGCTTGCTCCACGATAATAAAAGACCAACATTTACGTAAATAATACTCTTTCCATTTCATTTAAGTGATATTTTAGACAAAAATTTTAAGCAATGTTTTCAAAATTTTTAATACAAAATTAGATATATTAAGTATTTTTTGAGCAATCATATTTTATGTCATGTTTTTTATTGGTTGAATTTATTTTATTTAATGATATTCTTATGTAAAAAAGATATATTATATGTCTTCTTAATTGGTGTGTAAAATCTTAAAACATTAATTTAAGTGAAACAAAAAGGGACTATAAGTTGTTTTTTCAGAAATTAATCATGTTTATTATCATTCAATTATACTTCTACAAACTATATATATTTTTTTTTTGATAAATTTGTTATATCCATTAAAACTTTCGAATTCGGATAGACCAACGATAAACCAGTTATTACAAAAAGAAGATATTAAAATAAGCCTCGAAGAAAAAAAGACGATCAGACCATGTTGACCGCCGGAATAAGAGAGTTCGAATTACTAATTCCTGCGGATTCAAGATCCGCGGCTCTACAGCTCCACAACTACATACAATTCTATATATATACATATATATAAGGGGAAAAATGCCATTAAAATCCTGGAGAGTATGATTTTGTTGATTTAAATCCAGTACTCTCCAACTGTTGATTTAAATCAACAAACTTTTTGTTGACTCTCTATTTATTATGAAACTTTGGTTGACTTTGCCAGTTTAGTCACATCGTTAAATGGCCAGTCGGAGCAATTAAACGGGATTAATTCTCGTTAACGACATCCGTCAAATACAAAACAAAACCGTTTTAAACATAATGAAAAACACTTAGTCGATTAAGATTTTCCCCCAAAACGGTTATGTTTTGTATTTGTGTTAGGTTTAAAACGTGCTTTGTGTTAGGTCCAAATCACTAATTCCATCAGATTCAAGATCCGCGGCTCCAAAGCTGTATACAATTATTTATGTAAACTTTAGTTCTCAGTTCATATATATATGAGATGATAACACATATCCTCTTTTCTTTTTTTTTTGTTAAAATGAGATAACTTTTTTCTGTTTTTGGAAGAAAAAAGGGAAAATAAATAGTAGTTGAGACACCGAAAGAAGAATGCATAACCAAAACGGAACTAAGAGAGAAGCTCTCAACAAAGTTAGTTAGGGTTTTACACGTTATCTTAGCTCATGCAAATCTGCCCCTTTCATCATTCTATTTCTTTCATATTTTTCAATATAACCTATACTTTATAATATCTATATTAATGTAGTTATTTATACATTCCATAAGCATATTTGTATACATAATCGTCATGCATGTCCTGCACTTTACCTACCAAAGCCATAAACAAACTCTCATAAGAGAGAAGTAAGAAAACATCATAACTCATATATATATATATAAATAAAAGTTATGTGGTGACGTTTGGTTTACATGAAAAAGCTCAACCTTGTATGGAAGTAATTAGCTGCTACCAATTGATCATTCTTCTACTTCTTGCAATCTTTTGTCACCTCTTCTTGGCTTTCTCTTGTCAAGTTTTCACCAGTCACAAGATTTTTGAGTAGCCTTGTTTCTTCCGAGAATCTTGTGTAAGCAAGTTCTTGTCTTGGCATTTTTTTCTCATGACATTTTTAGCTCTAACTTTAGTTTTCATCAAATCATGAGAAATGATACATTTTGACTCTTTAATTCTTTAACTATCAATTATTGACGCAATATTGGTTAGTGTTTGAAGAGACGACCCTTTTAGTGATTTTTGGATAGTATATAGCCTAGCTAAGGTAGCAGATCCTTAGGTCTATATGCCTCTGTATATATCAGTCTTATGACAAAGTTTTGTGATTCTGTCGACATTAAAGGCTTTTATTTGATTTATGCAGTAATCAGTTTGAGAGAATGGAGAGTAATATGCAGAACTTGTTGGAGAAATTGAGGCCTCTTGTTGGTGCAAGAGCTTGGGACTATTGTGTTCTTTGGAGACTAAACGAAGACCAAAGGTTGTTTTGATATTTTTTCATGAGTTGTTAAGCTTTTTAAAGAGTTTCTCTCTTTTTATCTATCTGTCTTTCTTTGTCTTTCGTCACATATATTGTTATTTTTGGTTTTGGAGGAGACAGGTTTGTGAAGTGGATGGGATGTTGTTGTGGTGGGACAGAACTCATAGCTGAGAATGGAACCGAAGAGTTTAGTTTTGGAAGTTGTAGGGATGTTATGTTTCATCATCCTCGCACCAAATCTTGTGAATTTCTTTCCCATCTTCCTTCTTCAATCCCTCTTGATTCCGGGTATGATCATATACAAGTAATACACACATATGTTTTCTTTTCGAAGAGTTATCTTGAGTCATAAGAAAATGAACTTTGCTGTAGGATATATGCAGAGACTCTTCTGACTAATCAGACGGGTTGGTTGAGTGAGAGCTCAGAACCAAGTTTCATGCAGGTATTATCCGATTTTCAGAGTTTTGAGGAATCACGGATACATGAACAACTAGTCTTAATACTCAGTTTTCTTGGATTCAGGAAACAATCTGTACGAGGGTTTTGATTCCTATATCAGGAGGACTAGTGGAGCTTTTTGCGACCAGACATGTATGTTTACGTCTCTTATGTCTTTCTTTATTTGGTTTGGAAACTGTCGTGGTTTGTGATGATGTTTTGCACGTATAGGTCGCTGAAGATCAGAACGTGGTGGATTTTGTAATGGGACATTGCAATATGTTGATGGATGAAACAGTAACAATCAACATGATGGTAGGGGACGAGGTTGAATCGAAGCCGTATGGGATGTTGTCTGGTGAAATCAATCAAAAGGGTTCCAAGGATGAAGACATGATGAATCTCCCATCGTCGTACGATGTCTCTGCTGATCAAATGCGGCTCAATTTCTTGCCTCAGATAAGTGATTACGAGGGCCAACAGCACTTGAAGGTGAAGAGTGACTATCATCATGAAACTTTAGGGTATCTCCAGGAGAATGGTAACAAGGAGATGATGGGTATGAACCCATTTAACACCATGGCAGAAGACGGGATTCCAGTGATCGGCGAGCCTAGCTTGCTTGTGAACGAACAGCAAGTCGCTAACGACAAGGAAATGAATGAGAACGGTAGGTTGGATTCGGGGTCGGATTGCAGCGACCAGATTGATGATGAAGATGATCCAAAGTACAAGAAGAAGTCAGGCAAAATATCTCAAGCTAAGAACCTGATGGCTGAGAGAAGGAGGAGGAAAAAGCTA